TTGATTTTGGAAGGGATTGTGATGAGGAGGTGGCTACTGATTTGGTTTCTATCCAAGAAGTCTGTTCTAACGAGTTTGTACCTTGGATGGAGAATGATTTCTCTGAAGTGCTAGAGGAGGAACCTTTGGAAATTGAGAGATCTGGTTGTTCAGTAACAAATGCTGATTTGGGTAAGGACTGGATGATTGAAAAAATAGGAGCTGCTAGTGAGTTGCTAGGTGTTTCTTCAGAGGGAAATAGTAATCAGACACATTCCATTCTTCAAGCAATAGTGGAAGGCAGAGAGGTAGCTGTGACTGAAGAGGTAGTGAACCCAAGGCCTTTATCATCCTGGAAAGGGGCACAGGAGATCAAAAATCTTATCTCTGAAGTCAATTATGAAGGTAAGAAAGGGGTGGTGAAGGAGAGGGGAAGGACTAGGAGTTGGAGCGCGAAGAAAGGAGGAGGGGAGATTATCTTATTTGGTTTTTAATGCAGCTACGAATTATTTCTTGAATGTTTGTGGTCTCAACGACCCGAATAAAAGGAGGGTGGTTAAGGTTGTTTTGAGGAAGTGGGGGGCCCAAGTTGTTTGTCTGCAAGAAACAAAGTTGGCATCCATTACGGATGGGGTGGTTAGGAGCTTGTGGGGAGGAAGGTTTGTAGAATGGGAGGTCTTGAATGCTACAGGTACTTCGGGCGGTATTTTAGTTATGTGGGATTGTAGATGGGTGTCTCAGTTGGATGTGTGGGTAGGGAGATTCTCAGTGTCTTGCAAGTTCAAATTGGAAGAGGACAATTTCAGTTGGGTTTTCACTGGGGTCTATCTTTTTTCTGGGAGGAGCTTAATCATGCTCAAGAAATATGGTCTCTTCTCTGGTGCTTGGGTGGGGATTTCAATTCTGTTATTAGAGAGGTCCACAGGAGGTAGGAGGTCTTTTGAAATGGATCAGTTTTCTGATTTCATTGACAAGCATCTTCTCATTGATTTACCTATGGAAGGCGCAGCCTATACATGGTCAAATGGCAGGGACCAGTAACTTTTTCAAGGCTGGATCGTTTCTTGATTTCTAGGGAGTGGGAAGAGAAATTCCCGAATGTCGTTCAAGCAGTTTTAGCTCAGGTCATTTCTGATCATGTTCCTTTGGTTTTAGATTGCAAAGGTTTGAGTTCTCAAAGGTCTCCGTTTCGATTTGAGAATATGTGGCTAAGAGCGGAGCACTTCCAAGGGAAAGTTCAGTCTTGGTGGGAGGGAGTTGTTATCATAGGCTCATCTAGTTTCATGTTAACTACTAAGTTGAAGGCTCTCAAATTCAATCTTAAAAAGTGGAATAAAGACGTTTTTGGGAATCTTGAATGGAGGAAGAGTAGAGTTCTTGCTGATTTTTAAGAGATTGATCGCCTAGAAGAGGCGGGTGGGGATGTGGAGTTATTGCGTTCTAGGAGAGCTTCTTGTCAGGCAACTTTTGTTGAGATTGCTAGTATGGAGGAGATATCTTGGCGACAAAAATCCCGGGCTCTTTGGCTAAAAGAGGGAGATCGCAATACAAAATTTTTCCACAGACTCGCTAACGCTCATAAAAGAAGTAATCATATAGGACGTATTTGGGTGGAAGGTGTAGAGTTGTGGAGGGAGGAAGATGTGCATAATGGGATTGCTTCTTTTTATCATAAGCTTTATACCGAACCGCTTGCTTGGAGACCTAAACTTAATGGTCTTCATTTCGAGGCCAATTTCGAGATCGATAGGGAAGGGCTTAAGAATCCTTTTACTGAACAAGAAGTTCTAAAGGCCTTATCTAGTTGTAATGGGGACAAAGCACCGGGGCTAGATGGGTTCACTATGCGGTTTCTTTTAGAATGTTGGACAGTTGTGAAAAACGATGTCATGGGCACTTTTCAGGAGTTTTATTTTACTGGTGCCTTTGAGAAGTCACTTAATATAACTTTCATTGCCCTTATCCCTAAGAAGGGAGGTGCTTCTGACATTAAAGACCTTCGTCCTATCAGCTTAGTGGGATGTATCTACAAGCTTCTGGCTAAGGTTCTTGCTCTTAGGTTGAAGGGAGTGATGGATGGGATTATTTCAGATTCCCAGAATGCTTTTGTTTGAGGAAGACAAATTCTTGATTCAGTTCTTATTGAAGGTGAATGTGTGGATTCCAGATTGAGAAGTGGTGTTCCCGGAGTCTTGTGCAAACTTAACATTGAGAAAGCGTATGATCATGTGAATTGGAATTTCCTACTTTATTTGCTTCAGAGAATGGGGTTTGGAAGTAAATGGATTGAGACATGCCTTTCGTCTGTCAAATTCTCTGTTCTTGTGAACAGGTCTCCTGCTGGTTTCTTTAGGTGCTCTCGAGGTTTAAGAAAAGGAGATCCCTTGTCATCTTTCCTCTTTCTTATTGTTATGGAGGGCTTAAGCAGACTTATGCGAAGAGCAGAGGATCTTGATCTTATCAAGGGCTTTATGGTGGGAAGAGATCCTGTCCATCAGATGGAGGTCTCTCATTTACTTTTTGCAGATAACACCCTAATTTTCTGTGATCCTAATGTGTCTCAGCTTAGATATCTGAGGTGCATTTTGGCCTGTTTTCAGGCTGTCTCTGGTCTAAAAGTTAATGTGGCTAAAAGCGTGCTTGTTCCGGTTAGAGATGTTCAAGATATTTCTTCTTTAGCGGAAATCCTTGGGTGTAGGGTGAGTTCTTTTCCAATTCCGTATTTGGGCTTGCCTTTAGGGGTTTCCTCTAAAACAGTGGGTGCTGGGACCTTGTGATTAATAGGTATGCAAAGAGATTAGCAGGATGGAAAAAGTAATACTTGTCTAAGGGAGGGAAAGTTACGCTTATAAGGAGCACTTTATCAAACTTTTCCACATATTTTTTATCTATGTTCCAAATTCCATGCTCTGTTGCCGATAGGATTGAAAAAATTCAAAGGAATTTCCTTTGGGGTGGAAGAGGTGATGAATTTAAGTATCACCTTGTCAATTGGGAACAAGTTTGTAAGCCAATGAAGTTTGGTGGTCGTGGCATCAGAAGAATGGTCCCCTTTAACCAAGCTCTTCTGGGTAAATGGCTGTGGAGGTATGGAAGGGAAAGACATCGCCCTTGGCGAAGGCTTGTTTCATGTCGATATGGGGAAGAGAGTGGTGGTTGGTCTACTCGTCTGGTTTCTCTTGTGGGAGGAGTTGGGGCGTGGGAATTCACAAGGAAGGAATGGGACGCTTTCTCCACTCATATTAGATTCAAAGTTCGTGATGGCAGATGCGTACGCTTTTGGGAGGATCTTTGGTGCGGAGACTGGCCTTTATCTTGTTTATTTCGCAGGTTATACAGTATTGCAGTTGATAGACTTGCCTACGTAGCCAACTCTTATCACCTTGATAACAGAGGGATTACGTGGGACATGCAATTTCGACGCTCTTTTCAGGATTAGGAGGTGGACAAGGTATGTGTTTTCTTGGATTTGTTGTATCGATAAGAGGCAGTTGGCAGAGGTAATGATGATATGACATGGATTCCCTCTTCCCATGCTCGCTTTGAAGTTCATTCCTTATTCTTATGCCTTTCTGATTTCGATATTGTTTATTTTCCATGGAAGACTATTTGGCGTTCCATGGCTCCAACTAGAGTGGCATTCTTTGTTTGGACCGCTGTTTAAGGTAAGATCCTTACGATTGATAATCTAAGGAAAATGGGCAATTATCTTGTTAACTGATGTTGCTTGTGCAAACAAGATGGTGAGTCAGTTGCTCACATTCTCATGCATTGTCCTATGGCGAGGGATTGTTGGAATCTTATCTTTTGTCTGTTTGGTATGCGTTGGGTTATGCCTTGTTATCCTAAGGATTTGATTTGTATATGGAGAGGATGCCGTGTGAGCAGCGTTGTTCGCGATTATTGGAGAGTTGTACCACATTGTGTTTGGTGGTGCATTTGAAAAGAGAGGAATAGTAGAATGTTTGAAGGGAAAGAATCGTCCATGGCGATTCTAAAACTTCACATCATACGCTCTCTTTTCAGTTATGTGAAGAGGAAGTCCTGTTCTTCTTCCGATGATTTAATTATTTTTTTGGCTTCTTTTGGATCTTAATCCCTAGTTCCACTATTGTTTAAGGGATGCGTCCCCTCTTGAACGCCTTTTTTATTTCAATTATTACTTATCAAAAAAAAAAATTCACCAAAGGAGCAAGATTGTCATATAAAATTCTTCATTTGGGCTTTTCTCATAGCCCATAGGTGGTTTGGAGTGAGAAAGCTAAAATAAGGCATTCCAATTTAAACTTCATAGGCATCCCTCCAGGTCCACCATTTTACTTTCATCCATAATTGAACCGAAGAGGAGAACGAACAAAGAATATTTGTTGGATGAACTAGAAAGTATGCTTTTTACCCAAGTTTATTAACTCCAACTTATTTGGTAAGAGAGGTATATTGGTGAAATAAGATCCAAAACCTCCTCTTCCTTTCCTCCTAGTTCCAATAAAACAATAAAAAGTGTCAACCTTTTCTTTCCTTCCACCCAACCAAAAAAGAGGGAACAACACGTTTCCCTTCCCTAGAATATAATTTTTGTCCTTCCTTCCGTCCCTTTAATCCATTTTTGAATCCTCCTATCAAGCAGACAATAAATATTAGCATTATTTTGGACTATTTTGTTCAAGTGAACGATTTTCTACGTTCCAAATCAAAATATAATTGGTAAAAATACTAATGAATTTGCTAAGTATTATAGTTCTTCCTTCTATATGAACTCTAATCGTATCTACATAATGTCAATAAGCTGTCCCAATCACACACACACACACACACACATATATATACATAATATGTCTTCAATTACTCAAAATTTATGAAGAATAAAAGAAACCTAAAACATATGTATTCAATTACTCAAATTTTATGAAGAAAAAAGAAAACCTAAAACATTAATCAAACAATAGTAAATCGTGTTACTTATAAAGCAGAACCAATAAAAATTTTCTTTCTATTACAGAGTATTCAGAATCTGCATGTACCTGTGTGTGAAGAGAGAGAGTGTAGCACAGATAGAGCTCGGTTTTGCCCCAATTCAGATGCGATTTAACCGCAAATAAAAATAACCTAGCCTCTGAAGAGTACATCAAACAAAAAGAAGAGAGAGAAAATGAGTGAGCAGAGAGAGCTTTAGAGAGAGAAATTGAAAGAGAGGGAGTGTTTTACACCCGGTCGGACAGAAGGATGGAATTGTCTGACGCAACCGGAGCCGGTCGAAGTTTTTTTTATTTTTTATCACCGAGCCGGTGGAAGTTCAACCTTTCATTTTTTAACGACTACACCCTTAGGTTTGATAAAGTTAACATCCTCAAAGGTCCAAACATGTCCTTAGAAGATGTAAAAAGACAAAAGTGCCCTCAATATTTAATTCATTTTAACCATAAAATATTAAACATTTTAAAAAGACTAAAACACCCACAGAGTTGATCAACCGCTTCATCCACTTCCTTCCCACCTAAAAACACCATCATACATTTACGATGCAAAATTACCACCTCCTGCCAACTAGATTTGGTGCTAAGAAACAATGATTCCATTATCTTCAACCAGACCACGATGGGTTTCAGCTTCATCCGTTCTTGATCTTCTTCGTCCAAACCCAAATACACCAATCTGTAATAAAGAACTTCATGTTGACAAATTTTCAACTAATTAACCTTCACATTTCCAGCTCAAGAGGGAAGACCCCAAAAAAAAAACCCTCACACAAACCCTTATTGCTTGCTTCAACTCTAGAAACCTCCCGATTCTCATCTACTTGAAGGTCATGAGCTTCTAATTCCTAAAAAACATAACGAACTCTTCAGATTTCAGCTGCACTGATCACTCACAGACAATCGAAGCAATAACCACCGAAATACCCTAATTTTGGACTTCAAAGGCACGAAAAACTAATTCAGCACAAAAACTTTTGAGTAAACCAAATCTCCACACAAAATTGACAGATTCAAGTCAGCAATCGAGCATATTCATAGCCCATTCAAGCTACACATTACACAATTAAATTGTTCTCTTCAAAGAAGACTTCCACATACATACATACGTCTGTGTGTGTGTGTGTGAAGGGAGTGAGAATGAAAAAAGACTTGGGCTTCTGCAATGGGTTTGGAGTGATTGAAATGGATGGTACTGAGAATACTACTGAATGGGTCTGTTTGTGCCTCTGCTTTTACTTTCTCTCTCATCAATTTATCGGACGGTGGAACTTAAGGTTTTTGCGGTGGCGACCCACCCTTCTTTTTCTTCAACGACCCCGAAAACCCACCACTCTTCTTGTTCAACGACGGCAACAAGCTCGAAGACCCACCACCGGTAATCAACTACAAATAAAGAAGACCACTTCCTAAGGTTTGAAGACCACCACCGGTAAAACATCGATCTTCGGTGATGGTGGTAGTGGTGGCGATGGCTAGTGATGGTGGGTAGTAGTGGTGGCAATGAGTGGTGATGGTGGGTGATAGTGGTGGCGATGCCGTTGCTCCTCTTTTCCTCTCGGCTATTCTCTATATATATATATATGGGCAATAATGTATATATATAAGGGCAAATTTGACTTTTTATGAATTATGATATTTTATAATAAAAATGAATTAATATTGAAGGGCAATAACATCTTTTCTAACATTTTAAGGACTTGTTTGGATTACAATTATTATAGGGGGTGTATTTGTCCAAAAAACAGTTAAGTTGTTTATAATTGTCAATACATCAAACCTCAGGGGGTGTCATTATAATTAACCCTAATTTTATTAATGACCCCCTTCTCAGTTCAAAGAGAAATGTTCAACTTTGACATTTTCAATCACATAGTTTTTTTTTTTTTTTAGGTAAAATTTCAATCACATTGTTTTTAAACCCAAAACCTGACTTTTTATTTTTTTTAATTTTTTATAAGTCCAAAATTTAATTTAGATCGGACATATTTCTCAAATGCATCAAACTTCAAGAATTTATGTAAATTACTTAATGATCTGAATACTTTTATGTATAATTTATCAAATCAAATTTAGGTTACCACCGATTTGAACTTTTTATTAGTTACTGTTCTGATCTGAAGATGCTCACAGTCTATCTTTCTTTATTTACATATGTAAAAAAATCATATATATATACACACACTAGTAAAAGGCACGTGTGATGCATGTGATGAATGTTTTGTAATTTATTTTATTATTTGGTAAATTATTTTATTAAACTATTACCTATTTTATCTATTTTTAGTTGTTTTAATAATGATATCTTTTATTTTAATTCATTTTATTTATAGAAACTCTTTTATTTTAATTAATTTTATATCAATTAATAAATATTTTTTATATTAATAAATAAATATTGAAATACTAAAAGCAAATAAAATTGCTAATTTGTGGTAGAGTTTTATAGACTATTTTTTAGATTAATAATTCTTATCTAATTAGATTTTCTTTTATTAAAAAAGTTATAATAAAAGGTAATTTGTGGTAGAGTTTTAGAAAAATTATTTAATTTTTTATATCAATTAATAAATATTTTTAATATTAATAATTCTTATCTAATTAGATTTCCTTTTATTAAAAACTCATAATAAATAGATAAATAGGTAATTTGTTTTAAAGTTTTATAGAAACACTTTTAAAAACTATTTTTATATCAATTAATAAATATTTTTTTATATTAAAATTTATTGTCTAATTAAATTTTTTTTTCTTAAAAAACTCATAATAAATAGATACATATGTAATTTGTGTTAGAGTTTTATAAAAACTCTTTAAACATATCATTGTCTAATGCAATAGAGTTTTATTAAAAATAAAATAGATAATTTGTGTTAGAATTCTATAAAAATTATTTTATTTTCTTTAAATATATCATTGTCTAATTAGATTTTCTTTTATTAAAAAACTCAAAATAAAAGATAATTTGAGGTAGAGTTTTATAAGAGACTTCGATGTAATCCGTTTTACTTAAAACCAATGTGGGATAAGAAAAATGAATTTTATTACGTAATTTGTAATTTGAGTTAAACTCTTTAAATTAATTTTTATAAATTTTATTAGGGAATTTGTAATTTGAATTAAACTCTTTAAATAATTTTTAGGTAATTTTTCTTTTTATAAAAACTCTTTTTTCTATATTAATAAATAAATACTGAAATATTGAAATTCTTTACACAAAGACCGAGAAAGTAGTACTACACTTGATTTTAGCTAAAAGACCAAGAAAGGTTAGCCAAAAAGCCGACTAAAAAAAAATTAGTACTATACTTGATCTTCGCCAAAAGGCTAAAAAAGGTATAATTATTATTTCTTTAGGTCTATAGTTTTATAAGAGATTTCCATGTAATCTTTTTTACTTAAAACCAATGTGGGACAAGAAAAATGAATTTTATTAGGTAATTTGTAATTTGAATTAAACTCTTAATTTTTTGTTTATAAAAACTCTTTTTTTTTATATATATATTAATAAATAAATACTGAAAGCCAAAAGGCCGAGAAAGTAGTATTACACTTGATCTTAGCCAAAAGACAAAGAAATGTTAGCCAAAAAGTCGACCCAAAAAAATTAGTACTACACTTGATCTTAGTCAAAAGGCCGAAAAATGTGTGGTTATTATTTTTTTAGGTTTATAGTTTTACAAGAGACTTCCATTTAATCATTTCTACTTAAAACTAATGTGGGACAAGAAAAATGAATTTTATTAGGTAATTTGTAATTTGTAATTTGAATTAAACTCTTTAAATTAATTTTTATAAATTTTATTAGGTAATTTGTAATTTGAATTAAACTCTTTAAATAATTTTTAGGTAATTTTTTGTTTTTAAAAACTCTTTTTATATTAATAAATAAATACTGAAAGCCAAAAGGCAGAGAAAATAGTACTACACTTGATCTTAGCCAAAAGGTTGACCCAAAAAAATTTAGTATTATTTCTTTAGGTCTATAGTTTTACTTAAAACCAATGTGGGACAAGAAAAATGAGTTTTATTAGGTAATTTGTAATTTGAATTAAACTCATTAAATTAATTTTTATAAATTTTATTAGGTAATTTATAATTTGAATCAAACTCTTTAAATAATTTTTAGGTAATTTTTTATTTATAAAAACTCTTTTTTTGTATTAATAAATAAATACTGAAAGTCAAAAGGCCGAGAAAGTAGTATTACACTTGATCTTAGCCGAAAGACCAAGAAAGGTTAGCTAAAAGGTTGACCCAAAAAAATTTAGTACTAAACTTTATTTTAGTCAAAAGGCTGAGAAATGTGTGATTATTATTTCTTTAGGTCTGTTATTTATAAGAAGTTTCCATATAATTTTTTTTACTTAAAATCAATGTGGACAAGAAAAATGAATTTTATTAGATAATTTGTAATTTGAATTAACTTTTTAAATAAATTTTCGGTAATTTTTTGTTTATAAAAATCTTTTTTTTTTATATTAATAAATAAATACTTTCTTATGAGAAAATTGGCTGGGGCTTCCATAAATTTTTAGTATTAAAAATCACCACAATACTAAATCACCATCGAAGAGAATCCAAACACCTCCATAGATCAAAAATACTCTTGGGTGCACTAAAGCTTTTTTGTCTGGTACACTTGTTATTTCAACGATTTTTTTTTTTTCGGTAAATATTGTTATTTCAACGATTTTGTCTGGGAAGTATAGATAAAGCACCTTATTTCAATATTTGTCTTTTTTCTCTCTTTCTTTTTTAATTTTTGGAGGTACGAACGTGGATCCCAATCTACATTTGGTGAGAGGATTGTTTCATCTCAACTGAAATTAATGAGAATTAAAATCAAAGGCAGCCAACAACTATTACTTGGAAATAGTCCAAAATAAATAAGAATTGTATTTAATGAAGACCCTTCGAATACGCAATGGCTACTACATTTGATCTTAGCTTAAAGGCTGAAAAATATTAGTCAAAAAATCGAGAAAGGTGTGATTATTATTTCTTTAGGTTTATAGTTTTATAAAAGACATCCATGTAATTCTTTTTACTTAAAACCAATATAGGACAAGAAAAATGAATTTTATTAGCTAATTTGTAATTTGAATTAAACTCTTTAAATTAATTTTTATAAATTTTATTAGGTAATTTGTAATTTGAATTAAACTCTTTAAATAATTTTTAGGTAAAAATTTAGTATTATTTCTTTAGAGGTTTCCATTGATCCTTTTTACTTAAAACCAATGTGGGACAAGAAAAATGAATTTTATCAGGTAATTTATAATTTGAATTAAACTCTTTAAATAATTTTTAGGTAATTTTTTGTTTATAAAAATTCTTTTTTATATTAATAAATAAATACTAAAAAGCCAAAAGGCCAAGAAAGTAGTACTACACTTACTCTTAGCCAAAAGACCAAAAAATGTTAGCTAAAAGGCCGATTCAAAAAAATTTAGTACTACACTTGATCTTAGCTAAAAGGCCGAGAAAGATATAATTATTATTTCTTTAGGTTTATAGTTTTATAAGAGGCTTCCATGTAATCATTTTTACTTAAAACCAACGTGGGACAAGAAAAATGAATTTTATTAGGTGATTTGTAATTTGAATTAAATTCTTTAAATTAATTTTTATAAATTTTATTAGGTAATTTGTAATTTGAATTAAACTCTTTAAATAATTTTTAAGTAATTTTTTATTTATAAAAACTCTTTTTCTATATTAATAAATAAATACTGAAGTACTGAAACTCTTTGCACATTTAATAATAGTACTGATATATATGGATTTGACCCTTTCCTTGTTTCACATTTTCTATCTTTAAACACAAAATACTATTTAACTTTTATCTTCTATAAGTAATTAAACTCTTTCATTCTCTAAAACATACTAAAAAATTTGGAATTTCATTCTTTAATGATCAGTTCCGTGTCTTGAATCTTGATCAGTCATAATTCGACTAAAACTTATTTAAGATCAGCAAAGCTATGGAGACGAGATCGTTCCTCAAAAAAATCGACCAATTAATCACTGTCGACGGAGCATTGCAATATCATTTTAACATACTTTTTCCCAAAAAAAAAAAAAAAAAAAAAAGACATTTTAATGTATTCCATAACACTACAGTACAGGAGTGGGACTGGGCGGGTTAGGTGGAACAGGGGTTATTAGCCCGCACCAAACTTATGGTTCTAACACATTTGTCCGTGTCAAACCCAAATCCTGAAAAATCCATAATGTCTCAACCCATGCCATGTTGCTCAAGTTTTTCAAATTACATCGACATTAAAATATTTTACTACTACTAATACTACTACTAATAATAATAATAAAATTAAACCACCAAGTAAAATTTTGAGTTGTGGAGTGGTTAATAAAATTTTTCTTATTAGAATTTCAAAGTAACTCAAAACCTTATATTCTATAGTATTTTGTTTTTATAACTAAAATTCAATTACTACTATTTTTTTAAAACTATTAATTTTTAAGGTAAGCAAGCCTGTCAAAGTTAGTTGGATACCCTCTTATAAATAATTAAATATTAAATATAATTTTTTTGTATTTAAGGTTTCTCAAGTTAGTAAAA